TCCTCCCCCTCTCTTTCCTATCTTGATAATCCAGGTAAATATAAGGCCCAGACTGTCAGCATTATTACTTATTTCAATGATGGTCAAGTTAGCAGAAACATCAAGGAATCATACTTATCAGACTATCCCTAACTTTTAAAGTGCTCTTTGCACCATTTTTCATTTGTGCCAATCTGAAGTGCATGGACTAGACAAGCAGGTTTAAAAAAAGAATCAAAAATCAAATGCAGCAGCAAACTAAATCCCACACCAAAGGCTATCTTGATTCAATTTTGTAATTCAACAAGCCTCCACACCTTAGTTTTCTTAAACTGCCACAGAAATTCTAGAGTGCTGCCAGAACCACAGGGTTTAGGAAAAGTTTGCTGCAAAATGCTCAGGACTTATGCAATTCTCAGTTTATTCAAGACCCCACTGTGAAAACAGAGCTGGTGTTAGTGCTGTTTGTCAGGAAACAGCTTCCTGCCCCTAGATAATCACAGAGGCTACACAGCATACCTTTTGGGGAAGGAAAGCTATTTTCTGATCCTTTTCCAACAGGCGTGGCTGGCAGAGACAGAGATGCCTGGACAGCTGAATCCATCTTTTCACAGTCTAGAGTTGGAGAACTAGGAGCAGACTTCCTAGTAACCTCCTGCTGCCTTTCCCGTACTGCTAACTCTTGTCGTAAGTCTGGAGGATTTGAAAGGGGAAAAAAACAAATATTTCAATTAATGGCTTGATTCATTCTAAAATACACCCATTGTGCTCATCTGCAGATGCATACACACAACGTTCTTAAACCAAACTGATATTAACTCCTGAAGACCAAGCTGAAAGGAGACTCAATCTTGAGAAAGGCTGTGAATGTAAAGTAAACATGCTTTAAAGATCAAAGAATGGGAACAGACAGGCTTTGGGCTATGCAGTGAAGGTCAACAGGTCCTGGCTTTTCAGAAAACGAGGTACGGGAAAACAAATTTCAGAATTGTGGACTTACCAATGAAAGTGTATGTTGTGTAGGTCTAGAGACTGTACACAAAAATAAGTCAGCTGGCCCACTGCCATGACAAGACAGGAAAAAGGGAGCTTCTCAAGCAAGTTAGACTCAAATTGCGCAAAGTATTATAGGTCAATATCAGCATCTTCCATCAGAAGTGACCAGGTAGCCAGTAATCTTCACAGTACCAGCAGAAAATGCCCCTCACAGAAAATCATAGAGTCCAATTGCCTAAAACAAGATCATCCCTCTGCAAACCATCCTATACAAACCATTATCTAAACTCTACATAAGATCACCCTCAGCCCTGCCGCAACATACACCTAACACCCTAACCTGCCACAGGTAAGGCAAGGAAAAAACAGCAGCCAACATCCTGCTTCTATAAAGGGTTGCCAATATACGCTCAAGAAATCCCAGGAAGAGAGCCATGTCCCCTGTTACAGAGGAAGGCAAAAAACCCCACAGTCCATCCCAATCTGACCATGGGGTGAAATTCCTTCATGACTCCAGATATGGCCATTAGTCTGACCCTGAGCAGAGGGGCAAGACATTCTAGCCAGAAACTTCCAGCTTTGGTCCCAGTGGAAGCATTGGCACACTCCCATCAAAGTCCCGAGCCTTGGCTGAAGCCAACATCCATTGCCTCTGAAGAAGGCTCAAAACTACGTTAACACATGTAGCAGACAGGGGACATCCAGGCAACCAGCAAAGCCCAGAAGCACGGGAATACCCATGGCAGAACACAGGCATAGCTACACCTAGATCCTCCCTGATCAGTAGCTGTCCAACCACTTCTTGAACACTTTCAGTGAAGAAGAGTCCACAACTTGCGCAGGGAGTCTATTCAACTGCCTCAGGATTCTAACAGCGAAGAAGATTTTTCCAGATATCCAATCTAAATGTATTTTTCTGCAACTTCAAGCAACTGGTCCATGTCATACTCTGTAGCAAGGGAGAAAAGGTGCTTTCCCTCCTCTTTAAGGCAGCCCTTCAAGTATTTGAAGTCTGCGATCACGTCTGTTCTTAAGTGCCTTTTCCGTAAGCTGAACAGGTCTAGCTCCTTCAGCCTCCCCTCATATGACTTGCTCTCCAAGGCTTTTATCATCTCTGTTACCCACCTCTAAGCCCTCTCTAACTTCTCCATGTCCTTTTTAAAATGAGCTGCCCAGAACTTCACACAATACTCCAAGTGAGGTTTGTCCAGTGCCAAGTAGAGAGGCACTGTCACCGTCCATGTCTTGCACCTCATACTTCTATTCATGCATCCCAAAACCACGTTCGCCTTTCATGTGGCTGCATCACGCTGCAAATTCAATACAAGTCTGTGATCTATCAAGACTCCCAAGTCCTTCTCCATAGCGCTGCTATACAGCAAGGTGTCACCCTTTTTATATCTGTGTTTTTGATTATTCCTCCTGAAGTGTAGGTCCTTGTATTTTTCCACATTAAACTTCATCCTGTTAGCTGTAGCACAACTTTATAATCTGTCAAGATACTTCTGAACTGTGCTTGCATCCTCCAATGTGTTTGCAATCCTTCCCAGTTTTCTGTCACTTGCAGACTTGCTCAAGAAGTTTCCTATGTCAGCATCCAAATCATTAATAAACATGCTGAACAGTACTGGGCCCAGCACAGACCCCTGCATGACTCCACTTGAAACCTCCTGGCATATTGACATGGACCTGTTCATTATTCCCTTTTGCTTGAGTCTATTGAGGCAGTTATCTATCCACCTTATACTAGTTTTATCTAGCCCATGTTTCTCCAATTTGTTTATGAGACGGTCATGTGGGACCTTGCCAAGAGCCTTGCTGAAGTCCAGATATATATACTATATCCACAGCATTCCCTTTATCCACCCAAGTACTTATTTCGACATGATTTATTTTTCAGAAATCCATGCTGACTGCTTGTGATTAGCCTTTCCTCCTCCAGATCCATGGCCAACATGGATAAGTAAAAGGGAATCTACATTCTAGCATCAATGGTAGCGCCATGTAGACTGTATTATAAAGTCTCCTTGGACATCACAAAGGCATTGACAAGTCTGTGCCACAGATCACATGGAGAGCTGGACACAGTTATCACCCCAAACACAAAAGCACTTCCAACTACCAACTCCAGCTGTGACTCTGAAAGTGGTAGATGATCATTTTAGGTTGGAATTTAGGAAGTTTCTAATCATCAGAACAGTCATGTTTTGGAGCAGCTGTCCAACAGGAACAATGTAGGAAAAGCCTGCCTCCCCCACTCTCCCCCACCCAACACACATACATTTTTAAGTGAGTTCAATAGGTTTATGAATTAAATTATATGATGTTATTGCCTACAACAGCAGAAGTCTCAACTCGGGCCCAGGAGGTCCTTTCCAAACCTATGTTCCCAAGTACTGATGAGGGTACTCATATGGCCCATTCTCTACTCAGTGTCCTGAAATCCCCATACAGAATATGTAGTATCACCTAAATGACTAATGCCTTTCACTGTGGTATAGGATACACATCTGTCTCACTCTTTTCATGAGCTGCCTTATTTTTCCTCTATCACAGCCTTAAGGTACTTCTAACAATCTTAACAGAAAATGCTTGGGTTTCTAATACTCTCACTCCTGTTATAAAGCTACACACAAAAACACTTAAAGAGAGGTGTGGGAAGAACTTTGAAATTATACATCTAACTTTCTACATTATCTCACAAATTATTTTTGCTTGCTGCTCATAAAAATGAGTTTCTTTTATTTTAATGATGCTAAAACTTTCTGAATTATTGAACTATAAAACCAGAAGGACCTCTTGTTGATCATTCAGATACTTCTGAAGATTTGTCCCCTAAGTTTACATACTTTTTAAATATAATCTTTATGACTAGTATTATTGAAATTTGCAACTTTCATGTAATATTTACTACTCCTTTTTATTCTTTTTTGTCAATTCTGTGTCTCTATACGTTATGTGTAGATTATATAGCTATACAGATATATACTTATAGTATGTATGTATCTCTCTCTAGATATAGCGATATACATACAGTATAGAAGTAATTTACTGCTGTTGGGCATCGATTTCTGAACCAAGTGTCCCCATTAATCAGGCTATCAGTTGTCACTTATGAGATAATTTAGTTTTATCTGGCCTTTAGTAATGTCTTTCCTTGAACCTTCTATGCAAAACCCTTTTGCAAATTCCTTGTTCACTGATGGTAGCCTAGAATGCATCATTCTCTGGTATCATTAATCCCACAAGTTTCATTGCAATCCTTTCTGAGATATCTTCAATATATCAGGCAATTCCCAAGAGGATTAGAGAGAGCTGAAAAGAATCCTCAAAAGACAGCTAATATTTATTTCCAAGTAAAATGCCGATCTTCTTCCCAAGAGCACATGCAACGTCTGGTCAGCAGGAATATTTGGAATACAGATCTGGCCTTAACTCAGTTTTCATGTGTGATTTGCATTTCACCTGTAGTGCTTACATTTAACACACAAAAAAAGGCCTGAGTGGTTCTCATCATTTTTGTCTACTTATCAGCTGACATTTTTCTCCCCCTCAACTGTAAAAGAAATATTAATAGCAAATGTTAAGCATATGATTTCTAACATTTAAGGTTTGTATAGCACAACCGACTTAAGTCCCATGGTGTTGGGCTTTATACAAACATGAGTTTTAGTTGTTGCATGTCTCTGTTAACAAGGGAACAATGCGTTAAGCCATAAAATCAATCCAACAAATGGTACCTCTTGCTTCGTCCTTTAACCTCTGTACAGAAACTAGCAACGATTCTTTGTCATCCAGCTCACTTTCTAAAAATGCATTTCTTTCAATAGCCTGGTTCAGTCTTTGTTCAAAGTCTTCCAGTGAAACTATTGTAGCCCTAGAAACAAAATCCAGAATATTAGGGTCTTCAGCTTAGCTGTCAAAGAACATTTAAAAGTATAACAGAGGAAAAAGGTTAGCAGCGTCTAGTTTCAAATCCAATGCTTGAGAGCTCTAGTAATTCACCCTGGAAATAACTTTTCAGAACCAAAGAAGTGAGGCGTGTAGGCTGAACAGGACAACACTCTAGCAACTGGACTCCCAGAAGCATAAAGGAAAACAGATGTGCTAGAGCTGATATCCACGCTCTGCCATTGCCTTGGCCAGAAATAGACTTAAAAAAGCCCTGTTTAGGGTCAGTCAATGCTGTACTGTACCTTCGTATCAGAAGCAGCTGCAGGGTACTGCCTCTGTACTCCAAACAGCTGACAGCCCGAGGAGCTAAGGCAAGTATGGAACCCCAATTCAGCAAGTTGAGCACTTAAGCATATTTGTTTATGTTTTTTTATTTGATTTATATGCTGCCCTACCAAGGCTCAGGGCAGCTCAGGACTGACAAAATGTGCTTTTAAATGTACTTTATGTCAGCTGACTGACAAGGCTCAGAGCAGCTTACAATAAAAACAGATAAAATATTACATACAATAGTAAGTGATAAAACATTTCCCAAACAATACACCAGAACTTAACCCCACCTAGTAAAAACCTGCTCAAAAAGGAGGTCTTAAAATGTTCCCAAAAGATGTTCAGGTTCAGGCTCATGATGAGCCTTAAAGGGGAGGGAATTCCAAAGCTGAGGATCAATTCCTGAGAATGATCTCCTCTATATTTTTGCTGGACAATGGTGCAGATGGAAGTTGCAGGAGGTTGCTCTCAGTGGACCTTGGGGATTGTGACGGAACATAAAGAGTCACTTGCTCCCTTATGTAGAACCCAGACTGCTTGCGACCAGTACACTGAATTGCACCCAGAAAGCTACTGGAAGCCAGTTCAGACTCTGGAGAACTGGAGTAATGTGCTCCTGGTGAACCAAACTGTGGGAAATACCCTAGTGGACCAAAGAGAAAGGCACACAAAGGCATGAACTCAAAATAAGGAAGGCCACTTGCAGGTAGAAGGCCTGTGAGTGGAGATCCTGCATCCAGTATGGAAGTCCTGCCCCAATCCCCAAGGAAACAAGGGTAGGCTCAACAGTATCAGGCCACAGACTTGGAAATAGAAGAGGATCCTCTCCAGGATGTAGTACCAGGCCAAGAGAAAGGGGAACTCTTGAGCTGCTTTGTGTGTGGACAGCCAGGCCGCTGGCACAAGGATTGCCCATAGATGGACTGCAGTGACATGCAAACAGGGATTTCTGAGGTATAGTGAGAGACCCCAAAGCAGAGAGCCTATCTGGTCCCCGTGAAGATGGGACACCCAAGTCCTGGGCCTAGTAGATTCAGGCTCTGGACAAACACTTGCTCCTGGGCAGCTCTTAGACCCTGCTTAGCTATCAATTGTGGAGTGTATATATATGATCTGAATCTACACCTATCTGACCACTGAGGCACAGGTGTTGGTTGGGGGCCAGAGTGCAGAGCTGACAGCAGCAATGATTAGCCACCTCTCCAACCTAGGAGTGGTGGGCTGGGACTGAGGCTCACTGACCTAGTTGTTATGCCTGGCA